TTCATTGGTGTTTCTTTCTTTCTATTTATTGGCTATTTGGATGTGTTCTTTTTACTATATCTTCTTGTAAAAGTATTATTGTTTTACCTTACAATTAGATTTGCTATTTGTCTGGAATTTGCTTTTTGTGTGTGGTATGAGGTAGGGGTCAAGATGAGTCTTTTCCCATCTTCATAGCCAATTGACTTAGTACCATTTATTAGAATGACCCCTTCTCCAATTCCCTGTGGTTTTGTGGTTTACTTTTCTTTTTCTTTCTTTTTTTTTTTTTTTTGGTACTGGGGATCGAACTGAAGGACCTTGTGCTTGAGAGGCAGGCAGGTGGAACCACTGAGCTAAATCCCCAGCCCTGCCTGTGTTTTTTGTTTTTTTGGTTTTTTTTTTTTTTAATTTTTAACTTTATTTTGTGTTTGTGTGTGGTACTGGGGATTGAACTGGGGTCCTTGTGCTTGCAAGGTAGGCGGTGGAACCACTGAGTTAAATCCCCTGCCCCCACCCTGTGCTTTTAGATCAGACTTCCCCAGCCTTGTGGCCTCCCTGGATGTTCTAGTATGTTGTACTGTTCTGTTATGTTGTCTAGCCCTGAACTGTCTTAGTGACTAGTGCCTCCTGATAAGGCTGATTAAATGGTAGCTGAGTCCTCTAGCTTGTTGTCTCCAGGTGGCCTCGGCTGTTCTGGCCCTTTGTATGCTGATTTGAGGACTTCTTGCTGCCGGGCTTGAGCTCAACAGAGTTCTCTGGTTCTTACGTGCCCCAGATGCTGCTCCATTATCCCTCTTCCAGAAGCTAAAGGAGGCTCATTGTGTCCCCTATCAGAGACTCCTCCTTCCAGACAAGATCCAGCAGACCAGACAGACCATGTCCAGGGCCTCACAGCTTCAGCAGGCCCTAGGTTATAATGTCAAGGCCCAGTCAGAAACAGGAGAAGGGCTGTACCATAGCCAAGAGCCACCTCAGCCTGGGCAGTGGGTGTGGGCACAGTCTGGCACCCAGCCATCAGGAAGAGGAGGAAGGGAAAGAGAAGCTCCTAGACATAGCTCTGGTGCCCATCCTCAGCAGCACGCTGCCCACCACATCTTGGTGTAATGTTGACTGTCCTGCCTACACCACTGGCAACTTAGTATTTTATTTTTCTTTAACTTATCTTCCCTTTTCCCTAATCAGTCTTTCTCTCTCCCCTTCTCCCTCTCCCCTCCCTTCCTCCCTCCCTCCTTCCCTCCTTCCTTCCTTCCCTCCTTCCTCTCTCTCCTTCTCTCTCCTTTTGAGACTGGGGAAATTGTGTATCTACTATAAATAAGAAGTTAATTTTACTCCCCAGAAATAAAAGGCAACTGGAAGAATTTGTTAAATAAAGTACATCCCCAAACCTGGGGATGTAGCTCAGTGGTACAACATTCGCTTAGAATGCAGAGATCTGTCGGTTTGATCCACAGTACCACAAAAAATAAAAATACATAAAGTAAAAATGAAAAAAAAATCATTCAATTCCAGCCAAAGGCCCGCTTCTGCTTTGTATGGTAAGTAGAGGCTGGGCAAGGTCTATGACGGGTAAAGATATCTGGACTACACTGAGTGATACTCCAGAGAGAACCAGGGAGAACAATGCTCCAAAAGATGCCTTTATTACCATGTCAGGTACCCTCTAACATTTCACAGTGTCAGCCTAGGCTCTGCTTGGGAAGCCCTAGCTGGATCCAGCTAACAGGCCAAGGACTTAGAAGTTCCTACACACTCCTGTGTAAAAATTGGCTTCGGTGGTTGTCACACCCAGGGAAGGTTCCCCAGGGTGTCAGCCTCCTGCATCCAGGCATCATGAGCTGCTGGAAGACGAGTCTTCACTGAGCCCAGGAACAGCAGGGCTGTCCCCACCACTTCCACCAGGTCCAAGGAGCAGCAGGCCAAGCATGGACAGACTGAGTTCCCCAGGAGCAGGCTGAGGATCAGATACCACTTTCTTCCTGTCCTCTGTACTGTAGAAGCTGGAACCAAGTAGGGCCAGGGTGTCTTGCTGATTGACAGCAGCTCAGAGGGATCATGACTTATCCCAGGCCATGCAGCACCTATCTGCAGGCTTCCTGCCAGCAGGTCCAGCATCCTTGTTCTCACCCAACTCAGTGCCCCCTCCTCTATCTGCGTGGCTCGCTCCCTGGGCCAGGCCAGGTCCAAAGCACACTGCACCTCTGGGCCTCCCAGCCTCTTTTTGAGCAGACATCTGCTCTCTCCTGCAGAGCGGCCTAGCTCTGTGGTGAACCTCCCTATTGTACCTCTGCACAACCCCTGTTCCACTCTGCCTGTGCCTGCTGGTGCTGTAGGCCTTGAAGCTCCCTGGAGACAAAGCCCTCTGTGTCAGAACCTCCTATATCTGATAGGGTCTGGAAACCTCGTCAGGGGTTGATTGCTGGTATTTACAGTCCTCGGGCACAGTGGCCCAGAGTGTCCAGCATGCTGCCCTGTGGGAGGTTATCTCTTTAGATGCTCACAGAGGCACAGGGGCCCTGGCACCTTGCCTCCTCCTTCCACACAAGGACCATGCAGACCAGCGGCCTGTCTAGAGCCTCACAGGTTAGGTGGCACCTGGGGAACTGAGGTCAGAGCTCAGTCAGGAGCAGGAAGAGGCTGGGCTACAGCAGAGAGCACTGGGGCTGCAGCCACCTCAGTCTGGGGGTGTGGGGAGCAGCTGGCACTCAGCCATCTGGAGGAGGAAGAAGGAAAGGGAGGCCTGGGCTAGTGGGAAGACGGGTGGCTGGGCCTGAGCTGATGGGCAAGCAGCTTCCCCTGGTCCCTACCCTCTTGAATCTGTAGAGAAGCTCTCCCTGCACTCACTTTTTTTTCAGTTCAAGGGATCAAACTCGGGACCCTGCACTTGTGAGGCAGGAGGCGACACCACTGAACGAAATCCCTGGCCCCTGCACTCACCTTTGTTGGTGTAATCAGTACCGTTCCTGACTCTCCGGCCCCCATCCTGAAGCTGGAGACACAGAGGTGGACAGGGAGTGCACAGATGAGCACAGTGTATTGAGCACTGTCCTCTGAGGGACTCCCAGATGGCCGAGGCAGGGCTGGATTGTGGAGGGAATGGCATGTACAAAGGCCCTGTGTTAACAGTTTCAGGGATACTGCAAGGAGCTCATAGCATCTGCTCTCAGGAGGTGAGATGCAGGGGTGAGATTGGCAGAGAACAGGAAGAGGGCTGCTGGGAGGCTTAGACTGGACACTTCATAGATTGTCCAGGGGCCGCACTCAGCGGGGAGGCTGGGGTTGAGCTCTCCTGCCTCCATGCCTGAAGCTACCAGGAGAGGCTGCTCACCCCTGTGACCCCAGGGAACACTGGCCAATGAATGCCATGCGCAGAGATCTCGAGGGTGCAGGAGGGCTGTCTGGGCAAAAAAGAGTCCATAAGGAGGCCATATCATCCTGGCTAGAGAGAGAGAGAGGCAGAGGGATGGCTGAGCTCACGCCCTCTGCCTGCCCTCTTGCTCCAGTTCTGGGCCCTCCTGTCTGAGCTTTCCCATAAGCCCCACTCTCCTCCCTGGGAGCAGACCCCTCCAGTGGTGTGGGCCGGTGTGTCCTGGAGAGCAGCTGGAACCGTCATTCTCCACCAGCCTAGCTGTGTGACTACAGCCAGCCTGCTCCCTGTGTCTGGACCCTCTAGGCTCTGAGACCCCAGAGCAGGGAGAGCTGGCTCCTGGCTTCTGTTTTCAGCTTCTCTGATCTAATTCTTGCACTTAAATTGCTTTCTGAGCTACCAGCTGCTGGAAACATGTGGTAATGATTCTGCTTGGTGGCTGTGGGCCAGAGTGCTCTTCAGGCTGCCCCTCTCCATCTTCCTGGCCTCTGAGGTGTGGGGAGGGCAGAAGGGGGTGACAGAGGTGAGGCCAGAGAGGTTAAGTTGTTGACCTGAGGTCAGACAGCAGCTCTCTGTAGATGTGAGGGCCAGAGATGAAACAGCTGTGGGCACAGTGCAGGGGACAAGCCGGCTGTCACCCTGTCCGCAGGCAGGACAGTGGGCGGTCCCCTGCTGTTCATCTGTGTCCACACTCTGGCCCATCTCACTTTCTTTCTCCCTGCTTCTTCTCTTCTCTGGAGAATGTCCTCTTCCTTCCTGCAAGGCCTCAGCTGAGTGGGGTCCAGGGGAGAGCCCCACCTGCCCAGTGCTCAGTACATTAGCCCACACAAGCTTGAGAGGCCAGGGTGGGAGCATCAGGGCCTGAAGACCTGGGTTCCAGTCCAGACTGTTCCCAGGGAACCCTGGCAGGCCACCTCCATTCTTCCTGGACAAAGTGCTCACCCAGCAGAGTTTGTAAATGACAGACACAAACTTCTAGCCAAGTGGCTTGCACAGGGTAGGAGCCAGCAGAGTGAGAGGGGGTTTGGCCACTTCTCTCCCATCCTCTCCCCTTTTGGCCTGTGTAACAGTCTCCCAACCTTTGGTCAGCTATAATGATGTCCTGGAGAGTGAAGGGAGGACTCAAGAGTGGGAGCCTGCTCTCTAGAGGATCATAGACTTTGTTTCCAGGGAAGAATGATCGCTCCCGGGTGCTCGAAACAGGGCAGAAATGGGCCCCTCCGGAGGAGGATCAGAGGACATGCACAGCTGCTTCCCTGTGGGTGTGACACGGGCCAGAGCACTGCTGGGGTTGGCTGCTAGTCTGATTCAGTCTGGGGAGCTCTAGCAAAGGCTGGTTAAACAGAGGGAGGGAGGAGATGGGTGTGGCCTGGGTTAGCCCTGAGCGCTTGGTGGCCTGTGGTTTAGAATCACCTCCAGGCCTCAGAAAGGAGAGAATCTCAGTGCAGGAGTCAGGCCAGTGGGCACCTATCTCTGCTCTGCCTGGTACCAGCTGTGTGACCTTGGGTAAGCTTCTACCCCTCTCTGAGCCTCACCTGCATGATGAGGGTGTCGATACCTACTTCCCAGGGCTGCAGGGATCACATGGTGATTGGGTGCACAGCAGGAGCCCTGGTATCCCTAAGTGATGAATGTCTTACTTCCTGTCCTCCAGGTGCTCCTGCCTTTTCTTCCTGCGCCAGCTGCCGCCATGTTCTCGTGTGTGAAGGCCTATGAGGACCAGAACTATTCAGCCCTGAAGCGGGCCTGTCTGCGCAGGAAGGTGCTCTTTGAGGATCCCCACTTCCCTGCCACAGATGACTCGCTCTACTACAAGGGCATTCCGGGCCCCGCCGTCAGGTGGAAACGACCCAAGGTCGGTGTGTTGTGTCCACTGGGGGCGGAGACGACTGTCCGTGGCCTGAGTCTGCAGGGACATCGGGGTGGCCCTGCCAGGTCCCTTGATGTGGGAGTTGACCTGGAAGGGTTGCTAGGAGAGTGGGCCTGAACCCCATAGCCCCTTATCCCTGCCACCCTCCTTTCTGGGGTCATTTTGGGGTTAAAAATGAGATGATGTGACTTTTGTTTGGCAAAACGTGGAGTGATATTCTAGTATAAGGAACGTGCTTTCATGATTATTATAAAGATAATGAAAGTCGCTTCCCATATAAGATGATTAATTGGTAATCATAGTGGTGGCCAGAGGTAATAGTGTCCACCTTATAGGCTTGCAAGACAGCCTGGCACCCAGCAGTGTGGAGCTAGAAGGCCTCTCCTCACCACTCCCTAACCTGGATCCTGGCCCCTGGCCTTGGGCAGATCATGCTTGAGGTCAGACCATGCTAAACAAAAGGGTGTGGCCCATGTATGGTGACTTCTTCCTGTTGAGCTCCAGTGCCTAGGTGGGAGGGTGGGTTGGAGAAGGGTCCTGCTGAGTGGGTGTCCCCCGTGGCCTGGGAGAAGGGGAGTCTGTGGGACATGGTGGACCCAGGCCCCTATCCAGGCTGCACAGCCTTGCTGGACACCCTGTGAGAGTTGGTCACACTGAAGGGTGTGGGAGGCCTTGCTCTGCCTGGTCACTCAGGCAGGGAGGGAGCTGTGACTCTTGCTGTGTGATTCTCAGATAAGTGTCTCAGAGTCAGAGGCAGGAGGCCTATACAGGAAGTGCTGGGGAGCGGTGGTGCCTGGCAAATTGACACCTGCTGGCCTGGTTCTCTTGACCGCTGGGACACAGGCCACCGAAAAGTGAGGGGGACAAACTAGATGTGGGGGACCTCAGCACTGGCCCTGAGGGCATAGGGGCCTTCAAAGAGGTGGCTTCAGCAGCGACCACCGGGTCAAATTTGTGTTTTACAGAAACCCTCAGGCCCCCTTGACCTTTTGGGAAAATGAAATTTGGTATTCGAGTTCCTCTCCTAGATAGACTAGGTCTCCAGTCCCTTCCAACCCACAAATCCTGGGCTTTTCTTGGTTAGAACTCTTGAGAGGGAGGGAAACTGAGACTGGGAGGAGAAGGAACACACCAAGATTGCCTGGGGAGCCCTTGGCAGGGTAGACCACACCCAAGAGGCCCTGGCCCTTTGGCCTGTGCCCAGGGAGCTCCATGGAATCTCTGACCATGGCCTTGGTCCCCAGGAACTCCCCAGAACCTCCTGGCCTGGCCACAAGATTTTCACTTGTTGGGTCCTGGCTCCCCGTGCCTTTCTCCCTCTCCTTTGTTCAGTGGGTGAGGAAGGAGGCCAGCCTCAAGGAGCCTTTGTGATGCCTCAGTGCAGCAAAGAGCGCGGACCCTTGAGCTCTTTTCCCAGTTCGTGCTCTGCTCCTTTCTGCCCTCATCCTGACCCGCTTCCTGCCACTGGGTGTCTCCAGACCTAAAGGGCAAAGGCATTTATAGTCAGTCCGTGACTCTGGAAGGAGGCCAGAGAGGCCTGGCTGGGGCAGGTTGGGCAGGCTGGTGGCTCTGGGTGCTCCTGATGGAAACATTGCCCTCTGCAAGCTCCTTGCTGCACAAGTTCAAGTCCTGCCAGGTCTTCTCCCTCCCTGGCACCTGCCAGGTACCACCTTCTATTCCAGACTGAGGGAGGCAGAGCTGTGATGCCCTGCTGGGGCCATGGCAGCATGTGGTTGGAGATGAGGGAGACATCTGATTGAGACCTAAGGAGAATCTCTTGTCAGCTGGGAGGCTGTTCAAGGCCTGACCCCCATGGATGAACTGTGGTAGACCAGGATGTGAGATCATGTGGGTGATGTGGTGATGTGGTTGTAAAAAAAATTATGTGTGGTTACTGGTTGGTGGTGCACTGCTATAATCCTTACACTCTGGAAGGCAGAAGCAGGATTGGGAGTTCAAGCCCAATTTAGTGACTTAGTAAGACACTGTCTCAAAAAGAATTTGGGCATAGTGTCCCATGTCTGCTATCCCAGCTCTCCGGAGGCTGAGACAGGAGGATCAGCACTAGTTGGAAACCAGCCTGGGCTACATAATGAGATCTTGTCTCAAAAAACTAAAAGGAAAAATAAAAAACCTAAATTAAAAGGAAGGTAGGGGAGGGGAGGGGGAGGGGGAGGAAAGGGAAAGGGGAAAGGGGAAGAGGGGAAAGAAAGAGAAAAGATAAAAAGGAAGGAAGGGAGGGAGGGAGAATAGAGGGGAAGGGAAGGGGAGGGGAGAGGAGAGAAGAGCCAGCTGGGAATGTGGCACGTTGGAAGGCCCTGGTTCAATCCCCAGTACCACACATACGCATGTGCCTCAGGGGAAAAAAAAATGACTGTAGGTACTGCCTGCATCTGGGAACAGGGCTGGAACAGGGGGCCCCCTTGACACCAGCAGGGTAGGAGGTTGCGGAGTAGGAAGTGGAAGTCAGGTCTATCTTCATCAAGGGTGGGGCTGGTCCAGCTCACAGCTAGTAACTCCCAGCTGCTCCACCCTTGTCCAGTGAAACTTTGGCCTGAGGCAGCTGTGTCTCTAGGAAGTCCTACTTCCTGGGTCCTGCGACCCACTGTTTACAGACGGAACGGAAAGCCAGCCTTTTCTACACCGGGAAACCCACACTCCTCCTCTGTGCTGGATATTTGGTGCCTTCGTTATGGAAGGTGCTCCTTACCCAGCCTCCTGGCTTCCACTGTTCTGTTTTTCTCCCGAAATGGAATGGGGAGTCTGGCTGGAGCCAGAAAGACTTAGTTCCAGCCTTGACCCCTCCTTACTGGAGGCCAGGTGTGACCTGGACTTCGTCACTTCGCTCCCTGGGCCTCAGGTTCCTCATCTGTAAGTGGGAAGAGCAATTCTTGCTGATAAGAGTTTCTGAAGGTTGAAGTGAAGAGGGGCACCTGAGCCGTCAGAGACGTGGGAGACAGTGACTAGCGTCCCTTGCCCATTCTTGCCCGCCTTCTCTTTGGCAACACAGGATCCAGAGTGGTCCTTTCTGTTGCTGATGACCCCCTCACCTCCCACCCTGAAAGACCAGGCCTTATCCTCTTTAGTCTCCACCCAGGGCCTGCTGCAGGCCCAACCCCTTCAGGCTCATTGGTCTTTGCTGTTCTATTTAGAACTGTACCCATCTCCTGCCTCCCTCATAGTCTGGTCACAGAGATAAGAGGCGAACGGGGACTGTTGGCAATCCCTGGGGGCTGGGGGATCCCCGGGGTGTGGATGGGAGCTCCTTTCTCTTCTCGGGCCTGGGCTGTGGTAGGGTGTGGTGTGTCTCCCACCCAGCACTATCTCTGGGCATCAGCCTAGGGGGCCTTTGGTGGAATACAGAGAGAAAGTGCGAGTCCTGTGAGCAGATGCCAGTGGAGGACTCTCCCTGGATTCCCCCAGCTCAAGCCTGTGGCCCCAGCCGGCCCCCCAGGGCTCATGCTCATTTACCAGGGAAGGCTGTGCCCTGGGCTGGGCTGGCCTCTGGAGAGAGCATAGCTGGTGGTTTGCACCAGGCTTGGGCTGGGCACTTCTGCCAGCCTGGGAACCACCCCATGCCAGCCACTTGCCTGACACAGAGTTCAGGCTTGTTAGAGGAGGTAGCCTGAAAGGATGGGGACTTCTAGCAAGAGATGGGGCAGGGATGAGCAGAGGGAGGGCCATACATTGTGACTCCTAAAAATACAGCCATTTGTCCCTATCCCAGGCAGAGGCCCATTGTCCTCAGCTGTTGATTCTTCCTGTGACCTTCCATTACAGGAGGGTTGACTGGTAAAGGTGGGTGGCAGAAGAGGTAGGGAGATGGGGGGATGGGATGGTTCCGGTGCAGGTGTGTGTGTGTGTGTGTGTGTGTGTGTGTGTGTGTGTTGCATTCCTATTGTTTGTGCACCAGGACTGCAAACCTGAATTTCCTGCTGTGCCAGGAGGAAAGTGTCCAGGGCTGTGGCCTGAACCTTGCCAAGCTGGCATAGCAGGCTGGGTGAGAGTTTCCTGCAGGTGCAAGGGGCCATGTCCTAGAGGCAAGCTGAGCAGAGGAGGGGTCACCCCAGCCCTCAGATGGACTGGCCCAGGGCTCACAGTGGCCCTGCCCAGGCCTGCATGTCACCTCACTTCCTCTGAGGGACCCTCTTTGCAGGCCCATGGAGAATGCAGACCCTGCCCACCTTGGAGATAGGCAGAGCCTGGCAAGCCTGGCCCCAGAGCTTGCAGGCTGGTGGGGGAAACCCCAAGGCAAAGCCAGCGTGGACAGTGATGGCAGAGTCCAGTTGGCGAGGCATAGGTCCCTCATAAGCAATGTGTCTCCAGGGGGAGCTGGACCCTGTCTTAGGGTCATTTGGAGCCCTTATCCCACCTGAGCCTCCCTGCCCACATCCCTCTCCCCCCGCCATCTGAAGGTGGGGGTGCCCTCTCCCTGCAGCCTCTCTGGTCCTCCTGGGCTTCTGCCATCTCAGCTCTGCTCACATGAGGTCAGTTCTGGCTCTACCTTCTTGAAGGCAGAGCCCAACCCTGACACACTCAGTGGCTTATGTCCAGCTGGTGGTCCAGGAAAAGGAGGAGGACAAGTGCTGGTCATGAGAAGCCTGGCCCCCAAGGTAGAGAGTGAAGGCCTGGGCTTCATCTCACTCCTATGTAGTGAGACCCCCTCAGGGAGCAGTAAAGGAAGGGTGATTTTGTCATCATAAAAGCCAGCCTACGCAGAGGTTCTAGAGCCAGGCTACCTGAATTGGAGTCTCAGTTCACAGCTTCTTGTGTGGCCTTGGTACATGACTAACCTCTCCGCGCCTTGTTTCCCTTCTGTCTAACAGGGTTGTTTTGCATAGTGCCCAGCTCACAGCAGGTGCCTATTCCTCAGGAGCCATTTCTGTGACTGTTCTTTTACAGGTGCCCCAAGGTGGCCTCCAAGTTCCAGATGCCACTGACCTTACCTGGTTTCTCTGGGTTAGACTGGTAACCCCAAGCCTCTCCTGGCAGGGGTAATTTGGCCCAGGCTGTCTCTGCTCTCTCTCAGGCTGCCGATCACCCCAGGTCCATGCCGTGCCATGGATGGAACCCAGGAACCCTGAAGCCCAAGCCCAAGCACTCCTGGTTTCCTTTTCAAGGGCTGGAGAGGTGTCCGGACCAGAGCCCTGTTCTGTGCTATGCCTGCCCCCCAGGTCTCTCTCAGCAGTGCCACACAGTGGGGAGGACAGCTCTGGTCAGGAGTCCTGCAGACCAGTATTTTCTGTCTGTCTGCTCCCTTGCCTCCTGACCTTGGATGTCACTCTCTTCTCTTGGACCCAGCCTCTTCTGTGGGATGAGGCAATGGTCTCTGTCCCAGAGCACTGGTTGGGGGATCTAAAGTACAGGCGCACCTCACCCTGCCCCTGCCATGGGCCTTGGTGATGCCAGGCAGTGCCTTTTCTCTTCCTGTGGCCCATGTGACCAGGTCCTCCAGACATGACCTCCCCCCGTCCCACCTCCTAGCCTCAGAACAACAGATGCTAAGTCATAGCTCCCCATGGCTCCAGAGCTGGGCTGGCTGTGGTGAGGCTGGGAGATAAAATGAGAGGCAGCAGGAGATAGGCCTGGGCTTCTTCCTCTGCTTCCCCAGAGATAGAACATGACCTTGGGGACAAGATGAGGGCCACCATGTCCACGGATGCCCCACGACCTCGAGTGACAAGACCCAGACTTCTGCTCTGGGAAAACTGCCCCACCACATTGCCATGAGCCAGCCTGTAACCCCACCTGCAAGCAGGGGTCAGATCCCTCCCTATGTGCCCTCCAAGGAGTTACAGCCCTTTCCTTGGCCCTGTAACATTTGTTTTTCAGGGCAGAGAAGTTCCAGCGCTTTACATGACCTGAACACCCTGTGCCTCATTTTCCCTCTTGAGTGCTCCGCCACCACGAGCTGTGGAGGCCTCACACAGCCCTGCAGGGATAACACTGTGTCTCCTTTGCAGGGATGAGGAAGTGAAAGCGAGGAGAGGTTGGGCCATTGGGCCAAAGTTGCACAGTTAAAAGGCAAGCAGGAACTGTATAGTTCTGTGTTTGAGGGTCTGCTGCCCTCTGCTGGCTGCCTACAGTAAGGCCTCAATAGCTGTGATCCTGCTCAGGGCAAGGCTGCTGCAGTGAAGCTGGGCACTGTGGCCTTCCCGCGCCTCTTCAGCTTCTTGTCTGTGAGATGCGTGTCCTGTCCAATTCTCAGGGCCGTGATGAAGATTGATAGTGGTGCCAGCAGGATACCTAGTGCACTGAGATGATTTAGTGCCTGCCCCAGCCCCTGTTCTTCGTGAGATGCTGCTGGAGTAGAGGGGCCAGGTGTGGGCTGCTGAAAACAGGTGGCACATGCAGCCCCAGATGGATCCTTTCTGGCCTTGGCAAGGCAAGGGAGCCCCCATGCCCAGTCCTGCCACAGATAGCCTGTTGGGCCCACAAGGGACACAGGCAGGCTCTCCGGGAGCTGTGGAGCATCAGTTCACCTCTGCTCCCCACGCTAGGGCCAGGGCCAAGTGGCCCATTCTGCAGCCCTGCTCAGAACTATCAGCACCCAGCTCAGGCTGGGTGACACAGTGGCCCTGGGGGATGCCAGGAGATTGTCTCTCTGTATGCTAAAGCCAAAGCCCAGGTTTTCCCTACTCCCCAGGACCATCTCAGGGGCCCTTAGTGAAAACCCCGATGTGGGAAGCTGCCCAGGCTGGGGGGCTTGGACCTATGCAGAGAAGAGCTGGTCCTGGAGCTGGCCTTCTGTCCTCTCCAGCAGACAGCAAGTAACTTCCAGAAGTAGGAAGGGCTGGGCTCCTGGGCCAGCAGGAGGGTGTGAGTCATTTCCCTGCCCTACAGCTGCCCTGGCCTGGCTCCCTGTACATCCTATGGAGCAATCCCTCTGGCCATGCCTGCCAGTCTCTATGGAAAGTCAGAATGACTTTCTGTCCCATGTGGGGCATTTGTGTGCTGTGTGCCTTTGACAAATCTCTGCCCCTCTCTGAACCTCCATTATTCATCCATAAAATGGAACAGCAGCCTAACTCCGTACTCCTCAGGCAGAGGAGGATCAGATGAGCACATGAGGGACGTGCCAAAGGGGGCCTGGCCCATCCACTCCCCAGTCGCCCCTCCCCAGGCTCATCAAGCTCTTTGGCATCTGTCTCATCCCCACTACCTACTTTGTTGTGACCATGGCCTCTCAGTGTGGGCTGGGACAGGGAGGGCCACCAGAGAAGGATGATGGTGGCCTGGTCTGGCTCCCTCATCGCATCCTTCCACAGACTTTGTTCATCGTCACATCTTTGGCAGAAGAGTGCTTGGGCCAGGGAAGAATAGGGTGTCCCAGGCAGGGCCTGCAGGGGAACTGGGTTCAGGGAGCACACAAGCCACGTGAGCCCTGTTCTGCAGCAGACTGCATCCTCCCTGCCTGCTCTGAGGTCCTTTTCCTGCTGCAGTGGGCCCTCCTGCTCCGCAGCTCACCTTCCCCTGCCTTCTTGCAGGACATCTGCGAGGACCCCCGCCTTTTTGTGGATGGCATCAGCTCCCACGACCTGCACCAGGGCCAGGTGGGCAACTGCTGGTTTGTGGCCGCCTGCTCATCACTGGCCTCCCGGGAATCGCTGTGGCAAAAGGTAAGGCCTGGGGCAGCTGGGATGGGGTGGGTTCCCTCAGCCCATTTTCTCACCTTCATGTGGCAGATGGGACTTCCTGAAAGCCGGCACCGGGGCAGGTATGGGGTGACACTGGGTCCCTCAGTATGGTTGGGCATTGGATTTGCCCTCTTGACTCATCAGCTAGGGAACTCCAGGGACAGGGGCTGGAATCTATTCTGATGTGTCCCCTCCTCTCCACTGGGGGCCTCCTGTCCCTGGAACAGAATGTATACCTATGAAATACAGAAGTCTTCTGCTTCATTTTTGGTGGGGAGACACCATTAACAGGGCTCAGAGACCCCTGCCAGTTACCTGCTGTGTGCTTGGGCGAACTGCGGTCCTCTGAGCCTTGCTTTTCCCAGTTCATTGGGGGTGTTCCAGATGGTCCTCAGCATCATGATTCCTGGTTCCCTGATGCTGGTGTGCTGCACCCAAGCCTTTCTTGAGCCACCTGATCTTTTGTGGCTGCATTTGGCAGTGGGGCCTTAAGTCCAGTGCTTGGAAGTTTCTTTCCTGGGGAAGAAGGGAAGCCAGATGCATTTGGCAGGGATTGCAGGGGAGACCTGGGTTCCCCTCCTAGCAGACACAAGTCGCTGTCCCATCCTCATCTCTGCCCTTCCTTGTCTTCCTACAAAAGGGATGGATGGTGGAGGGTATAAGAGCCCAGTGTGAGTCTCTTGGCCTTGGGTTTGATACCCAGTTTTAGTAAATGGAAGGTTTCCTGGTTACTCATCTGCAGAATCGGAGTAGCTGCCTCTCAGGAGGTATGAGGCTGGAACAAGACGCTGTTATAGCATCTTGCGCAGCTCAGTCCTCAGTGAAGGGCGGCTGTGATGACTAGCTTTAGGGTAATTACACTCCTAGAATTTAGGCATGCTTCCGTGGAGCACAGCAAGTCTTTCCTCTTCCTCCACTATGCCTCTCTACCATCAGAGGGAGCTGTTTCCTCAGCCAAGGCTGGAACTGCGGCAGGTTTCCTGTCCTCATGTCTTCTGAGCAGGGTGGGCATCCCTGGGGCCTGACCCCTGGTGGTCCTGTAGGGGTCAGGCAGCTGCATGCTCTAGGCTCTTAGGGCCCTGGCAGAGGCCACTACTGCATCCTACAGATATGGGTATTCATGGGACATCCAAGCTGGGGGTCTCAGAGAGCTACCTGTGGGATCCTGTCACTTGTGGGCCTCACGTGGATCTGGATCTGAAGTCATTCTCTGGGTAGAGACCTGGTCCCCACCCTGTATCTTCTAGGCTCCAGCCCCCTTCTCTGAGTTCAGAGCCAGGCCCTTACCTCTCAGCCCTACTGATACCTAGGTGAGGACTGGCCTGGGGCTGGAGATGGTACGTGGGACCCCTGGAGGGCTGGCTCTCCACCTCTGCCTGCTCCGTAATTGCCTGTTTATCTGCCATTTCCCCTTGAGGTAAGCTCCCAGAGGGTAGAGCAGGGCCAGCTTGTCCCTCCCCACTGAGCCTAGTGGTGGCATGCACAGAGAGGGCTCCAGAGAGGTTTGGAAGGAGAGTTCTACCACTCAGCTACTGACCTGACCCTGACCAGCTGTCTGCTTCTCCCCAGTGGTCAGTGGGCTGGAACCATCTGTGCATGTGCAGGGAGGGGTCTCAGCGTTGTGCCCCTGGTAGGGCCTGGCTTGCAGTCTCCTGCAGCAGCCTCCCACCCTGCTGGTGGAGAAAGAAGCCCACAACTCAGTCAGGAGGCCTGTCCTTGATGCTGTGCCATCTTCAGCAGCCTTATTTTTGTCCCAGAGCTGAAGGTTCCTTCTGCAGAGGGTGGGACCCTAGTCCAGCAATTTCAAGGTTGCCAGGGCCTGGAGGCTGATCTGCAGTAGCTTGGGTCATGCTGGGGAAGGCTGGAGCGGAGCTGGGTACTGTTGGCTAATTGCACTCTGCCACTGGGTGCTACTGTGGTAACAATCCCTGGGTCCCAGAGGAGGCCCTGGGGAGCTCATTACTGTGCTTACGTCCCCTCTATCCCCACTGACTGGGCTCTGTTTGTTGCCACCCCTCACTTTCTGGGCCTGTTGCCCAGCAGGGCCTCCCCTGCCCCACTCCCTCCCCTTCCTCTCCCTGAAAGGGCAGAGGGGCTGGGAGGTGTTCAGCCTTCAGGCTCATAGTCTGGATGCTGAACCTGAGGTACAGATGTGTCACACTGGAATACACATGTCCCTCCTCCTGGAAGTCACCCCTTACTCCTCATCCTCGAGGGCTTGGGACCCATGGGTACAGGGTTCAAAGACAATCAGCCCTGGTATGATTCTGGCTGGGTCCCTTGGCCAGTCACATTCCTGCTTTGGCCTCATTGCAACCCAGCACCCAGGATTGTGGGAAGAGGACAGGCCCTTAGCATGTAGCAGAGGCTCTTAGCACACTTAGATACCCTCCTGGCCAAATGCTTCTTGGTAGTGGGTTTGCCGACCTAGGGGATCCCTGGTCATTACGGCCTTCCCAACTCGCCTACATGTTTCATGAGGGCAGGGCAGTGGACTTCAGGTGATTTGGGCTCTGTGAACCTAAAATCAGGATGTGACAGTTTGGATGGACATGTGCCATCAGGCCTGGCGTAGGCCAGACCCAAGGTCTGTAATGAGCTTGTCTCCCTGGTAACTCAGGCAGCCCAAGCAGGAGTCAGGCCTGTTGCCTGCTCTTCGCCTGGGCCTAGGGTCCATGGGGGAGACCCTAGATGTATGCATGGCAAGAGTGGGGTAAGCAGTGCTTGAGCAGGGCCGGGAGAGGCAGGAGATGGTAGGGGGTTTGTCTTAGTTCTATTTAAACGTTTCCCAATCTGTCCCTGCCCTGTTATGTAAAGCAATCCACGTTCACTGTTACTTAGCAGTTCATTCAGTGCTCATTGATGTCCACAGTGCGCAACGAGATACTGGGGTCAGTAGACTTTTAAAAGTATAAAATGTAAAAAGTCACGTGATAAAACAACCAAAGTTAAGGGTTTTCCATATATATTTCCTTCTGGACTTTTTTCCATTTGGATTAAGGAGGATTTGGGTTTTTTTGTTTTGTTTTGTTTTGTTTTTTTTTTTTGAGACAGGGTCTCACTATGTAGTTGAGACTGACCTGGAACTCACTATGTAGCCCAGGCTGGTCTCGAACTCACAGCAATCCAAGGAGGATTTTGTTTGGTTGGTTTTTATCCACACTTTTGTAATTGTGTAAGCATGTTTGGAGCTGGCTTTCTTGAGTTTATTCCTGTGCCCAGCTTTTGTTGGGTCTTCCCAAGTATGTGGCAGCTGATCAGAGGTCTGTGGACATTGGTGGTCCCAGATACCACCTGCATCTTATGACTTCTTCCTGTCCCTGGGCCACAAGCCTCAGCACACACCTCCTTCCCATCGCCTATCCCCAAGAACCTTCCCCTGGCCCTTACTGCCCTCTACCTCCTGTCCTATGAAGCTGTCACAAATTCCTTCACCCTCCGCCTCCTGCAGGTCATATAGTCCTTTGTCAGGCTGAGACTAGGCCTCCTGTGGAGTCTTTATTCCCCTAGATCCTCACTAGCAAAAGCTGAACCTCCCTGTCCCCTATAATCTAGAAATAGGGGATCCTCTTTCCTCCAGGATTGCTTCCTCATAAGAATCGAGGCTGCCTACATGCTTTTATCTTCCCACCATCAACCCACTGTTTTGCTACCCTTTGCCACCCAGCTACCCTGGCCTGTCGCGCTGGCGCAAAGGGCCTGGCACTTACAATTTCTCAGACTTTTGTACCCCCAGAACTGCCATGTTCTGGAGATTACTGTGTCCACGTGGCTAATGCCTCCACTGCCTCCACCCATTTCCCTGGACTTAGATCTTGATTTCTTCTCCATTCACCTTCTTCCACCACCTTGGTCACTTGGTCCCATAGCCACAGCCTGGCCTAGAATTTTTCTCCTTCAGTCAAAGGCCCAGTCCCTACGTCTCTTAGACTCTTACCCTCTCCCCAGCCCAGTGCAAACCTGGTGCAGATCTCATTTTGCCATTGGCAAGGACCCCATGCTTGCTCCTCACCTGTGCTCCCTCCTCTTGCTGTCCTTAGTCGGAGCCCTGTGGTCCATCATTTTAGCTGTTCTCTCGTCAGTGTCATTTATTCATTGGTTCAGTCACTATTCAGCAAGCACATCTGAGCACCTTTTATGTGGCATTTCCTATTCCGGGTGCTGGCTTAATGTGATGAACATGACAGGCATAGTACCTGCCCTCTTCAGGGGTCATGGTCTAGTGTGGGGACATTACAGACAAAAAGCACACAAACAGGGGATAGGGGTGTAGCTCCATTGGTAGAGTGATTGGGTGAAAGGTGCTGGCACTGCAAAACAGGACAAAAACAAAACTAACCTAAACAGAAATACAAATAAAATGCAAAATTTAGTGCTGGGAATCTCTCCTTACAGAGAGGCCCCCAGCAATAGCCTCTCAGCCAAATTGTTCTCTCCTCTTCCCTGTCCTTCCAGCTACAAAATAAAAGATTCTGAGAACAGGCAGCATAACATCTACCGTGCGGCTCTGTCCAGTTACTGCTGATGGCCCCAGGGCTTCAGGTGGTGTATTTATTTATTTATTTGTTTACTTTGGTGATGCTGGGAATGGAACCCAGAGCCATACCTACCATTGAACTAGACCCTCACCCGAAGACCTGGTGCTCAGTCTTCCTTGGTGCCTCCTGCTGTTCACATAGCCCAAGATACCACTGATTGACAGCCCCCACCTAGCAATGGATTATACCTGTGGTCCACCAGATCCTTCAGATTGTTCTCTGTTGTTACATCTGGGGCTGTGCCTCTGTCCTGTTATCTGGGTGTGGCACATCGTGGCGATGGCCCCTCTCCCTTACTGCTACCCTCAGAGCTGGGCTCCTGCCTCCTCTTAGGCACTGGGGATATATCTCAAGATTCTCCCTTGGCCTCCAGGCTCCTGGGAGGAGGATGGATATTGATGGAATAGGCGGTGGGGTTTTAGTAGAAGTGAAACCTGCTTATGTGGCTACCATGGGACAGGGCTGAGTCTGGAACCACCAGGTTAGAAAGAGCTGGGTCAGTTGGTCTCGGGGCACAGCCCCTGCACCAGCAGCCTGGGAAGAAAAATAGTTTAAAACGCAAATTGTCTGCAATGTTTCTATACCTCTCAGGTGGATCTGATGTGCCTTGAAGTTTGAGAACTTTGGGTCTGGGTGGGGGATGATGGTGGCAGGGCTGAGGTCCTGGCAATGGAATTAGAGAGGAGAGTTCCCAGGGCATGTGGGAAGCAGAGCCCACAGACCTTGGTGCACCCTCTGTGGTCCTGCCCTTGCCCCCAGGGGTCTTCCAGTCTGTCCTTCCTTCCTGTGGCAGGTGTGTGGTTCCCCCCTCCCTCTCTGGCTCCTTTCCTTACAAATAAGCAGCTCCCAGCCCGGCCATGGTAGTCAAGGTGGTTGCCACAGCAGTTGACATCAGCGCTCTGGCCCCTGAGGAGCCTGTCACCTTCCTGCCTGCCGGAAGCGTGCTGCAGTACTGCTTCTATGAGGAGTAGAGAGGAGGCATTTGGAGCCTCCCGTCCTCACGTACACACACCCCATTTTAAGAACTGGGAGGGGCCAGGAGTGGTGACAAGGGGACAGAGGGTGGGGGCTGGGGAGGCGGAATCCTCAGGGGTAGCCTCTTCTCTTGGCATCCAAGGCCCCAGCCCGCTTGGCTCCTAGAAGGCAGGAGCAGCAGGAGCAGCACTTGGGCCATGGCAGAGGATGGGCCAAGGCAGCTGGAGATGCCGCTGGCTTTGGACCATGACCTGACCAAGCAGATGCGGCTGCGCGTGGAGAGCCTGAAGCAGCGTGGGGAGAGGCGCCAGGATGGTGAGAAGCTGCTGAGGCCAACCGAGTCTGTGTACCGAATCGACTTTACCCAGCAGCAGAAGCTGCAGTTTGAGCGCTGGAATGTTGCACTGGACAAGCCGGGCAAGGTCACCATCACGGGCACCTCTCAGAACTGGACACCTGACCTCACCAACCTCATGACGCGCCAGCTGCTGGACCCCGCTGCCATCTTCTGGCGCAAGGAGGACTCGGATGCCATGGATTGGAATGAAGCTGACGCCCTGGAGTTTGGGGAGCGCCTGTCGGATTTGGCCAAGGTCCGCAAGGTCATGTACTTCCTCATTACCTTTGGCGAGGGGGTTGAGCCTGCCAACTTCAAGGCCTCTGTGGTGTTTAACCAGCTCTGATGGTGGCCTCCCTGCCTCCCTGCTGCTCCTCCTCTGGTCCACTGCCCTCCCTCTATCCAGAACTCCTTCTCCCCGGCGCATTTCTGAGGAAATTCTCCTAGCTGCTCTGCCTGTCCTGGGCTTGGCCAGAGGCCTCCTGAGCAACATGTCTTTCCTCTCTGTGGTGCCCGTGCTCTGGCTCATAGGAAGATCCCATAGCTCCGTGGTCTAGAAGCTGGACCATTCGTTGCGACCACTGCTGTAAATGATAGGTATCTTACCGGTGCTACTGGGGGCAGAGGGAAAGACCACAGGACTGCCTTCCCTGCTTTGTTATGGTGGAAACAGACTGAAAGAAACCAAGAGAGAAAAAGACAGAGAGAGAAAGAGAGATCCAAACCACCAGCCACCTGGCTTCCTCCAGGGACAGGGAGACTGAGATGCAGGATCAGCCTCCTCCTCCGGGAACCCAGCAAGCAAGTGCTTGCTGCCTGCTGGTCATAGCATCCTTTGCTGAAGCCCACGTCAGGATTTGAACACCCAGCCCGAGGACCCAGGAAAGCACCGCTCCCAGCCTTTGGCTGGGGTGATCCCCCAACACTTCAAAGCCCTCAGGACATGGGGTAGTGTTGCTGCGGGTTGGTTTGGGTGGTGGGATTGGCTGGCTTTGCACAACTAGCTGAGGTTCTTGTGGCTGCAGGCATGGAGACATGAAGGGAGGTATGTCAAGTTGGGTGGAGATCTAGCCACCAATATATATATATATTGAGAGAGAGTATGTGTGTGTGTGTGTGCTGTTATTCATACGGGTACATATTAGTGGTCTGTATCTGCCCTACACACAAGTCAGTCCTTAGATTATCTGTTGTGTGATTGCTGTTCACATGTGGATCTTGGCAGGGGCTTGGCTGACATGACAGTGATTGAATTCCCTTTGGTGCAGCGGTTCCTCCTGGGAGATTTTGTGGTTCATACAGAAAAGGGATAAACAGTTTAGTAGAGAGGGGTCCAGGACCTGGAGCTGGAGATGGTGATATCTCCGGCTGGGAAGTCAGGCTTCTGTCAGCTCACTGTGGTGGAGGGCAGATGTTTTGTCCTCCTGTAGTCTCTCTCAGCATTTTCTGGGCTACTCTGGTGGGTGCGGAAGGCCTGAGGAACTTGCCTTGCTCATCTGTCTCCTGGGTGATGTTCAGAAGTGAGCTGGAGGCAGCAGTGGTATGACATTCGCCAGTGTCATCTCTGAGGTCTTCGAGGTCAACCACTCACCAAACAGACCGGATATGGGGTGGGAGGCACAGTTATCAGCAGATTCAGTTCTAGCCCCAAGTTTCCTTCTACTTCACATTGCACAGGTCCAGACCCCCTTTTGAGGAGGGGCCCGATCTGATGCCTGGCTGCATCTAACAGCCTCTCAACAAGTGCCCCCCCAACACCCTGTCCCAAAGCCAGCCATGTGTTTTGGCCCTGGCCTGTCATGTGTCCAAGACATTTCTCTTCCCAAAACAGAGCCAGAGCACTGCTGCTCGGGCCTGGGAACGATGTGCTGAGAGCTGGGAGGTGGTGGAGTAGAACCGTCCCTGGTGACTAGGGCTGCTGGAAAGCGAGCCCCGGGGTGTTGGAGTGGATGCTGGGGGAGGGGTTGGCTGAACGGTGAGTTCTGGTCCTTTGAAATCCACAGCTCTGAGTGTTTTGGGGGCATAACTTAGAGATGGCTTTGCCCATGGCCATTGCTGCCTTATTCCCCACTGAGGACTGGGAAAGACCAGACCTCTGGGCAGAGGCTCTACCCTTCTACGTGTTTGCTTGACCTCCCCCTGCAGCTCTAGGGACACTCTTGATCCAGGCTGTCTGTCCTCCACCCTGTCCCACCCTGTCGGCCCTGTGGAGTCCCCAGTGCTCCTGCTGTTCTGCTGTGCCTGCTGCGTGTCCCAATAAAGGCTGTGTGCCCGCGCCTTGGTGGTGTGTCTCATTGTGAATGCTGCTCCCCCCAGGAATGCTGTGTCCTCTCTGCCTCCCACATGCCCTGCCCCTTCCTGATGCCAGCTTTCAGGGATGAGGCCAGAGCAGCCAGGTGTCTGCAGACCCTACATCAGGGTTTCACAGGTCTCCTGACTTTGCAACAATAGCCTCAGACCAGCCTCTGGGAAGGGTGTGGAGGGAGTCAAGGGAGGCGAGGGTGACTGTGCAGGGGCAGGTGGAGCATAAAGAGTGGCCAAGGGTGTGGTAGGACCAGCCCTGGGCCTGGGTTTAGCCTGGCCTCTCTTGGCCAGCCTTTGGCCTGGTCACTGATTGGCTGTGTCCTCTGATCGACCTTGACCCATTCTGAGCCCTAGACCTAGAGGGAGCAAGCTGGTTCTGTGAAGCCCTTCCAGTCCTGCTGCTCTGGCAGTATTAAGCCTGATACTGGCACTGGTAGCCATGAGCTAGGCCACATTAGTGCCCCATCAGTCCTTCAAGCCTCTCTCCTCTCAGCATCTTTCAAATATGTTCTTTTGTGGGCAGAGACAGCCAAGACCCAGAGGAGGAGACCTTCTGCCCAGGTTCCAGAGGAAATGGAGGAGGGGACCATGCTCTAAGCTTGACCCTACAACCCTGGTCCCTGGGATGGGCTGGGAGATGTGTCCTTCCCGCACTGGGCTCAGGCTCAACCAGGGGACTTCCTTTCCAGAGACAGTCACTTGTGGTTCTGCCCAGGAATGACCCTGCTTCAGAGCCCTGCAGCTGTTTCTCACTGCCCCTCTCCTTTACCCCAGAGCCTCCCACAGCTGCCACCTCAACACATCCAGAGACCCCTCCCCAGCCTAGCAACCAATTTCTCAGGAGCCCCTGCTTCCTGGACGTACGCTCCCTAAGCCTGTCTCCCAGCTACCACCCCCAGCCACTCCTACAGGTGCTGCAGGAGGACAGAGGCTCCCATTAGAGGAGGAATCCAGCTGTCCTTAGACAGCAGAGGTGGCCTGGCTCTGTCCCCAGAGCACACCGTAGGGAAATCACCCATTTTCCATCGAAAACACAAGAAACAGTAGGCCAAGAAGACGTGCCACTTCCTGAGCCTCTGCCCCACAGAGGCAGTGTATCACAGTGGTGAGGGCTCCATTTCTGGGCAGCCACTGACCAGCTGTGTGATCCTGGACAGAGCTCCTGAGCCTCCTAAAGGCTGAATGAGTTAATATGTAAAGTACTTGAGCTCCACAGAGCTCATGCGACACCCTCTCCATTGTGCCTGTTGTTACTGCTCCAGTTACTGCTTGCTCTTCAAATTATTTTTTTAATTGACTTTTTATTTTATTAGCACATATCTGCAGTTCATGCAGTTTCTTCAAATTATTCTGAGGAGGGGTCAGGAGAACCTGTAAACTGAGCAGGAATTGGAGGTTCTGAGGCTTGAAGGGAGCAGGCCAGTAAATGTGGCAGCAGGGAGTGAGGGGTGGAGAGACTGTCAGGCACCAGCCTGGCCTTGTAGACCCAGAGAACAGTCACAGGGTACATTCTCCTCTACCACCCCGCTCAGCTCAGATGGTCAGCTAAGGGGTTGCTTAGCCCTCACATTGCAGGTCGGGAACAGAGGTCCAGGGGAGGGATCTGCCCAAGGCCAGGGACCTGCCCAGGTCTTGGCCTCAGCCAGAATTGGAATCGTTGCAGTCTTCTGCAACATCAGCCACCCAGTCTCTGAGGAGCAGTTGGCTCCCAGTCTTCCTGGATTCTTCCAGTCCCAGCATCTGAACCCTGGGGAATTTGAGACTCTTGGAATCAGAAGCTGAGACCTAGGGAGGCTCAAACTAGGAGCCCGATGAGTTTGAGGACTCAAACAGGCCTGTGACCCACCCTCCCCAACTGTGTAACATAGGAACCCCCTTGCAGCCCCACATCTCACAGCCCTGACTGTGTTGCTCAGAAATGCTGTGAGCCAGCCCTCAAGGTCCCAGGCAGAAACTTGGAAAGTCCCTCTGTGTGTCCCCACATCTGTGCACACAATGTCACAGGTGTGTGTTCACACACAGGTCCTGAGCAGGCTGCTTTCCCTGGGCTTCTGACCCCCAGCCGTTTCCTTCTTTGTCACATGGCCTGCACAGTGTCCACATCTGCTGCTGCCCTGGGTGGGGGGGGGCTTAAATCCAGCCCCTGGTGTCTGGGTGAGAGCCCCCAAGAAAACCCAGGAGACAGGGAAATGGGACATTGTCCTCTTGGGAAGGGTGGTAACCTGGCATCTCCACCCCCTCCCAGCCCTGGGGTTACTGCTTATTGTGCAAGTGCCCACACAGGTACTCCATACACCAAACGGACAACTTCCTCTGTGCTGAGCCCTCTACAGTGTCACAAGTACCTCCGAGGCTATCTACTTTAATTCTCATGGTGGTAGAGCAGGTAAATGAGGAGACTGAGGCTCAGAGAGGTGGCCCAGTTCAAACATAAGTCCCTGTCATGTGGGAGGTTGATAATGTGATGTTAAGTAGTGTCTATAAGGTCAAGAGCTGGTTGGAGCCTCACTGTGATAGCACTGGGGAACTTTCCTCTCAGTGAGACTCCAGTCAGCTTTGAAGCTGAGCCAGGCCCTATGCAGTGTGCACCATGCTGGGGACTGGGGAGGAGTCCAGCTTCACCCCTGCTCCTATGGAGCTCCTCCCTGTCACTGAGGAAAGGGACAAGGCTGGTGAACCAAAACGGGGCTCCCCAACTGTGCCTGGGGGTAGCCCTTAAGGAACAGGGGAAGGGGATATGAAGACAAATGACCCACACATAGAGGCGTGAGGTGGCACAAGGTATCCTGGAGTGGTTGGCAGGCATGGTAGATTTCTGCAGGGCCCACAGGAGGCATGGTGAGGGATGAGGCTAGGACCAGCAGAGCCCACATAGGGCTTTCACTGCCAGACTGTACTGTGGTGTCTGTGATGATGGGGAGTTTCAACCATAGACACCACAAGAGTAGGGGGCACCGCCTAACATGCTCCCTGTAGTCATCCCTTCACAAGGGCTGTCAGCTACCCCCACCCGGCAGCTTGTCACTTCCTCTAATCAGTTCACCTGGATATGGCTGTGAAAGATAAGTGCTCATGAAATAATAGTAACCACAATCCAACTGAGATATTTTAGAATAATTCCTTAATACACGTAGAATCCTCCACAATCCTTGGGTCCATAGTGTTGCAAATTTCAGTTTTTCGTATTTTGAAATATTTGCATATGCTTTGGTAGTTGAACACCCCTAATCTGAAAATCCAAAATCTAAAGCACTCCAAAATGAAAAATTTTCTCAGTGTGATGTTCAGCACTCAAAAGTTTCAGGTTTTGGGATCAAACTGTATCATCAGATACCCAGCAAGTGCTCTAGTTTTCAATCTGTTACACAAATATGCATGCACATTTCAGTTTGTTTCAAGGAGATGCAAAGATCTATAATTGCAATTGGTTGATTGCCCTTCTTTTTATTTTTCCTTTAGTTTTATTTACGGAAGAAACTCGGTCATTGGTCCCATTGAATTTCCCACTGTCTGGATCTTATTTACTGCAGCCTTGCAGTGTTAAATGTTCTCTGTTCCCTGCATTTCCTGTAAATGAGGATTTGGCTCTAGAGGCTTTATAAGGTCCAGGAACAATTGTTTTTGGCATAGTGCTTCATAGATGTCATGCTTTTCCTTCTGGAGGTGCAGAATATCTGGCTGTCTCTTATTTCAGATGGGACAACCCATCAGTGATCATCCCCTAAATTTATTAATTCTTCAGTGGTCGCAAGGTGGCCCCAGTATTATCATTTCTTCCTTGATTTTTAGCTGGAATTTTTTTCCAGATAGAGACCTCACATCACCCACTTTTTGGTTACCTTGTGATACAATGTGTAGAACAAAGGCAGGATAGATGCTAAATTCTTTCCCCTGATTCAGTTTCAAAAAGACGAGTTGATTCCTTACCTTCCTCCAACAGTGACTGTTTGTTCTGTGTCATCATGACCTCGTAAACTTGATCCTATTTGCTGTGTTTTAATCTATTTCATTTAGCCTTATTGATGCTCAGGATGGCTTTGGAGGCTGATGGGAACCTCTTCAGGCTACCTCCTGACTCCTTTGACACAACCCCAGGAGGCTTGGTGGCTTCCTTGACTTCTGAAATGTCCAGATGTACCCTGGGAGGGTGTTGATGGGTGTACATGTGGGAGTACAAGTGCCTGGATAGTCTTCTGCCTCCAGCTCAGTACCCCACTGGCAGCAGAGGGGCTGAGCGGTGAGAAGGCTGTGGGGCCGTGCCAGGTCCACTGGCTGGGATGCAAGGGGAAAAATTGAGGCCCTTGGGATCCCTGACTCTGGATCCCCAGACCCTGGAGCCTCATTAGCTTCTTCTTGAGCCACAGAGAACTCCGGGCCAAGTCCTGAATTTGTCTAATGATCTTTCTGAGGTCCCAGAGTACCTCCTACACCCTGCAACTGCTGCCTGCCTCCCTCCTTCCCCATGCCGTCCAGAGCACTCGACCGAAACCTCAGCAGAGGAGCCATGGGCCGAGCCCCTGCTCCCACCTTAGCATACTCCATCTCTCTGAGCCCTTGGGCAGCTCCCTGCTTCTCTTGGAACTCAGCCTGCCCATCTGTGCAGTGGGGATGATCATTCCCAGCTTGCAGGGAGCTCATTTTTTAGTTTCCTGGCTCGACAGCAATGGGGAGAGAGGACGAGTTGGGGCAGAGGCCGGCTGGGAGTTTGTTACTTAAAAAGGGCATAGCTTTGGCAGAAAGTGGAGGAGGGGATGGGGGACCAGAAGCAACTGGTCTTGAGCCTTGCTGGGTTCTAGACCCAGGATCACAGGCTCTGGAGCCCACATTTGAATCCTGTCTCTTTTACATGTCCCCGGGCCAGCCTCTGCCAGCCACTTCTCCAGCCTTACCCCCAAATCCTGTTGTCAGACAAGGAGTGATACTATAAACAGCCCAGCTCTGTGACTGGCACAGAGCAAGGCTACATTAGTGGTGATAGTGCCTCTCCCTGGATTAACATTTTTATTTTCTTGGTCTTGAATGACCCACTAGGGAGCATTTCGCTTTGCCAAATATCCCTGTTCATGGTAAGAAGTGTGTAAACAAAAACATCTTTAATGAGAGTGGGGGTGGGGAGTTACGGCTCATGTTGGCCTAGGCTCTGAATTGAAGAATTGAAAGGTCCTGTCCTTTGCCTGGCTCAGCCTCTGTGCCTGGGGGCTGCTCTGTATACTGGGTGGTGTCTTCTAGAAGGAGCTGCTCAGCTGCTCTTGGTGCTGTACTCTGCAGTTACCCAGACCTGGGGGATTGGCATGGGGTGAGGGGTTTGCTCTTACCTGCCCACCTCCTTTGGCCCAGATTACCTGTCTGTCCTCGTATGCTTGGTTCACACCCTGTGCCGGCTCTCAGGATACCTGCTTAGACCTACTGCTGGCCTTTAGGGTAACCCCTCTTCCCCTCTTTTCTCTATGGCCCTGTAGGTACCCTGTGTTTATCTGAGCAGCTTACCCTATGCCTGCCTCTCCCACCAGCCTGGGGTCCTCCTGAGGGCAGGTGCTCATTGTCCAGCATGGATTTGAATCCTGGCTTCAGACTCAGGTCTATCCGCTCCATGACGAGAGAGCCACCCTAGACAAGTTATTTGCCCTCTCTGAGGCTTGGTTTTCTCATGTCAAGTAGGGATGGATGGTAGTGATCTACCCTCGTAGGGTTTTTGTGAAAATTAAATTTGAGACAGTCTGTGGCATTCATAGGCACAAAATTTGGCATTTGCATGATGCCCTGTAAATAATAGATATTAGAAGAGTACTAATCAATATCTATGAATTTATTCATTCAATTAGCATACATGTATCAAGCTCACTCTCTTGGCCAGGCCCTGGCTAGATGCTGGGTGTATGGTAGTGACCAAGACCGATAGGGCCTTGCCCTCAGAGAACTGATGCTCCAGGGGTGGTTTCAGACATTGAACAGGGTCATGGAGAATTTAATGTATTTAACTCAGTAAATTCAAGTATCTCAGAGGAGAAGTGCCAGGAGCTATGACTCCAATGCATAGGGGTCTGGCCTGGCCTGGAGTTAGGGAGAGCTTCCTGGTGGGGGAGGACAGACATGGAAGTGGGTGAGGAGGCAGAGGAGACAGGTCGGGAGCTCGTGGAGCAGGGAGCTGCGTGGGGCTACCACTGGGAGTAGAGAAAAGAGGCTGTGGAGGTGGGGACACGATTATGTCAGTCTGCTGCTGTGTGGGGCAGGGACACATGTGACCGCAGGTACTGTTATGAAGGTAATGGGAGCTTGGGCCAGTATGGCGCCAACAGGATGGAGAGGAGGAGATGGGTTCCAGAATGCTGGGACTAGAGCATCCTGCTTGGAGGAGACAGGAAGAACAAGGAGGCCAGTGCAGAAAAGATGGGGGAAAGATGTAGAGGGAGGTCCAAGGAGCGGGGAGCTCATGGGGAGGCGTAGCTGGAAGGGGCCTCGAGGGGCCCCCAGCCCCTGCAGACTTGAGGAACCTGGTGCCAGGAGAGGACACAGGCTCACTGGGTCCCACCTGCTTTGTGGCCCAGATGAGGCACAGGCTAATTCTCCTTTCCATTCTGGTACCTCAAAGGCACACTTCCCTGTTTCCACAGGAGCCAGACATGCCACTCAGTGTCCCCCCATCCTGTCCCTGCTCTCCTCACCCAGGTCATCCCAGACTGGAAGGAGCAGGAGTGGGACCCTGAGAAGCCTGACATCTATGCCGGCATCTTCCACTTCCACTTTTGGCGCTTTGGGGAGTGGGTGGACGTGGTCATTGATGACCGACTACCCACAGTCAACAACCAGCTCATCTACTGCCATTCCAACTCTCGCAACGAGTTCTGGTGCGCCCTGGTGGAGAAGGCCTACGCCAAGTAGGTGACACCACAGGCAGGAGGTGGCCAAGCCGGGTGGTGCCACTGAGTGCTCCAATGGGTATTTCTTCAGCTGGACCTGAGTTGGGTGGGGCAGAGGCTTGGAATCCATGACGGAGGAATAGTTACTCTTGTTTCAAGAGCAGACTGGGGCTGGGCAGGGGTCCTGTGGGGTAGTTGGGACCATCACTCACATGCATGGCCATAGCCTTGCCCATGCTGCCTGCTGGGCCTTCTCTGCTGGGGCTGCGGGGACTGAGATTGGCCTGGATTTGAGGAGTGGACCAGATTCCTTGCTTCTATCCCTCATTCATTCATTTAGCTGTCTGACTGTCCTTTCCATCCTTGCTGATCCTCCTCCTTCTGTCTGCCAGGCCCTGTGTTCCCCGAACTCAGAATGGGCAAAGCAAAGTTTTGCTGAGCCATGGAAGGAAGATATTGGGGCATAGTGACCTGCCCAAGCCTCGCACAGCTCAGGTCACAGAATGTCAGTGGGTGTTGTAGACCCACCCAGCCAGCTCCCTGGAGCCTCTTCTAGGCTCCTCCTCCCAGGCCCACTGGTCAGTCTTCTCGGTGGGGGTGGGGGCATACAGAAAGGGGGGACAAGGAAAAGCAAAAACTCCTAACAACAAAAACAAGCCCAAGGAAATAAACAAGCAGGTTCTGCTTTTAATCCTAAAAAACCCTGCCCCCTGGTGGCGTCTGGGTCCACTACCCTGGGTGTAGCCACCCTCCCTGTCTGGGGAGCTGACTCCGGGCCTGCTCTTGTCTGGTGTTGCTCTTTGTTTTGAGCCTGGGTCTGTCTGTGTTGTCTAGGCTGGCCTCAGACTCTTGCTTGGGCTCAAGGTGTCCTCCTGCTTCAGCCTGTTTAGTCACGAGGACTATGTATAGCACGTGCCTCCCGGTCGCTGTGCCCATCTCATTTTTGTTTTTTTAAAAGTTTTATTATGGTAAAACATAAATAACGCAGTATTTGTCATCTTAACCATGTATAAGCCTGCAACTTAGTGGCAGGTCATTAACACAATGTTGTGTACGTTTCCACCCTCTGCACTGAAAACTTTGTCATAGTGCCCAGTGGAAACTTATTCGTTACCCAGTAGCTTCCTCACCTGTCCCTCTTCACCCCTCAGTCCTGGGAACCTCTCTTCTGCTTTCTGTGAATTTGCCTATTTCTAGGTCCTTGTATGAGTGGAACCCTACAGCATCAGTTTATGTGAGTAGTATTGTTACTTGTCTCTTTCTGCTTCTCAGATTTACGTTCTCCATTACACAGTAAATGCAGGAGTACCCAGGCTGGTCTTGAACTCACAGCAATCCTCCTGCCTCAGCCTCCCAAGTGCTGGGATTATAGGCATGCGCCACATGCCCGGCCAGAGTACATTTTTAAAACTCCCTCCCTCACCCACCCCAGGAACACAGATCTCTCTGATTTCATGTGATTTGTTCCTTTAGGCCAATAAATATTTTAAAACAAATTATTGTATACCTTGTAAACATAATGGGTATCCAGCTCTGTTGCTCTCAAACATCTGCAAACACTAGCATTTTCCCTACCATGGGAATTCTTTTCCAGGTTTTTTTTTTTCCATGAAGGCTTAATATTCCAGGGTATAGATACAGCATTACTTTCTAAAACTAATTCCCTGTTGTTAGATGTTTAGGTTATTTCTGGATTTACATCACTAGAAATCATGTTACTCATCCAAATTTGGTGTGTTAAAAGATGTATGAGTTTTTTATGCTTTTGAAAAAAAATTGCTGCATGTTTTAGACAGCTACTTTGTGAAGATGGAGCTACTGAGGCCTAGAGAAATTTGAGCTATAAAATGGTGTGGATCACTGGGACAGGTGCTGCGAGTCAGCACCTGCGTTCTAGTGTTGGCTGTGCTGTGGCCTTCTGTGTGACCTTGGCAGTTTGCTTGACCCCTCTGAGTTTCAAAAGTCGCTCCTCTGAGATGAAGGATTTAGAACACGAGCCAGCAGTTCTTTCTGCTTCGCTTCCCAGGCTGGCAGGCTGTTACCAGGCCCTGGATGGAGGCAACACCGCAGATGCACTGGTGGATTTCACAGGAGGCGTTTCTGAGCCCATCGACCTGACTGAGGGTGACTTTGCCAATGATGAGGCCAAGAGGAACCAGCTGTTTGAGCGAGTGTTAAAGGTGCATAGCCGAGGAGGGCTCATCAGCGCCTCCATCAAGGTGAGAACTCAGCAAGCCTGAGGTGGCCTATGTGCTCTCCAACACGGCATGGGGTAGATTTGAGGCCAGATCATAATCAGTCTCAGGGAGACAGGAACCCCGAGACTACCCTAACCTTGTGCTGTGCACTGCCCCTCAGCCCGTTCATCCAACACCCTCTCTTCTGACCCTCTCAGGCCTCTGGTGACCTCATCTGGGATCCCTTAGTTCAGCTGTGAGACATCAAGCTAGGTGGCAGCCGGAGCCCCTATGGCAGGCATGTCCTGACGTGCCACAGAGGGTCATCTGAACTCATTAATTGTTGGGTTTTGCTGAGAAAACAGGGGCTCAGTGTAGAGGATTTGAACCCAGGTAGAACCAGTCCTAAGGTGCCTGATAACCTGGTCTCCATAAAAATGAAAGACCTGATTTCGGTGGCATAAACATTCCTGTCATGGTCAATTTCCAGACACCAATTCTCTTTCCAGCCAGTTCTCAGAATTCCTGAATATTTAGCAGTTCACCTGAGCCAGGGCAAGTTGGCCCCGACATACTTCAGAGCTGTCCCCAGGGCGGGCACTTTCCTTAGCATGCACCACTGGTGACAGGAGTTTGTAAAGTCTGTGAACACAGCGCTGTCCTCAGTCACAGCCAGCGAGATCTTTGTGGAAGGTGCGGTTCCCTTTCTGTCCTGTAGGGGGCAGTGGCTATAGGACTTTAGTGCTACCCAGATTTGGGTTCTAGGCTGTCCCTGCTTCTCTGAACACCTGGGTCCTCCCACAGGCAGTGACAGCAGCCGACATGGAGGCTCGCCTGGGGTGCGGCCTGGTGAAGGGCCACGCGTATGCTGTCACTGATGTGCGCAAGGTGCGCTTGGGCCACGGCCTGCTGGCCTTCTTCAAGTCGGAGAAGTTGGACATGATCCGCCTGCGCAACCCCTGGGGCGAACGGGAGTGGAATGGGCCCTGGAGTGACACGTGAGGCCCAGAACTAGAAAAGGATGGGCGGGTTTCCTGGAAGAGGTGGTAAGGGGGAGCTGGGTGGGAAAGGATGTGGGGAGGTTGGTGTTAGGAAGAGAGAAGGGAGACTGAGTTTGGAGTGGGGTG